GTAGATCATGCAAAAATCTACAACTTTTGTAGAGGTAACTTTTTAACATAACCTCAAAATTTCAGAGAAAAATGCGAAAAACAGTTTTTTTTCTGGTTTTTCGTTTTTTATTTCTCATTTCCTCAAAAATAATTTAATTTTGACGAAACTTGGTGAAAATATACCTTTCTCTATCTTAAATAACCTCAAATTTTTTTAGATAAAAAAAATCTAGAAATTTCTGATATTAATTTTTTTCGGCCTGAAACACTTTTTTTAAAGAAAAATTCTACTTAAAAAAATCATCGTACAAAGTTCTGCCGGTAATCATTTTTTTCGTTTTAACATATACTTTTTGGTGAAATAAAAAAATCTGTAATGTCGGTTCAAAAACATACTCAAAAATGCAAAAAAGATAAAAAATGACTTGTAACAATAAATTTTTCAGTTATTGTTGATAATTTGTTTAAATTAAAAAATATTCAAAAACTGATTACACCATTCAATTCTACGGAAAAAAATTTAAAAAAAACTGTGTCTCATTGTCTGACCCAAAAATGTTTGTATATTGCTATAAACATTTAAGTCGAATTACAAATGCTCAAATAATAAATTATCTCTGGACGATTTGAGATTTCAGCAATACAAAGTATTACTGCAAAGTTTACTGTTGACACGAAATCCGAAAACCTGAAATTTTGCAAAATCGTTTTATTTTTTTCTGGCTTTATTTGAAAACGAATTTTAAATAATTTGCATATTTACATTGCCACTTTTTTCGCTCTATCCAATGGCATCAACATTTTTGCAAACCGACGTTTCGTCTTCGAGGTTCCATCATCAGATTAATTTTTTTAAATATATCGCTGCAATTTTTATGACAAAATCTAGTCACTTTTAATTCTGTATTAGATGATATTACTATTGTAATTGCTTAAAAAGGTTTTTAGCTATCATTAACAATTTTTCCTGAGTACGACTCTGAACGCTTTGAAAATACCTGTATCTATTGGAAGAGAGCGAGAGAGAGGAGAGAATAAAAGTCAATACAGCACAAAATATCCAACAATTTTTTTAATCCATAATTTAAAAAGTTGTATCGTATCTAATAAAAAAATAATACGAATTTATGAAATATTTTATTATTTCTAATTAGTATTGCTAACGGTAGTAAAAAATCGTTGGATATTTTGTGCGGTATTGACGTTTATACTGTTATGACTTCATCCAATAGATACATAAGAAAACGTTCAGAGCCTGTAATTCAGAATTAAAAATGACTTTAGATTTTGACATAAAAATAGCAGCGACGCATTTAAAAAAATTAATCCGATGATGGCCCCTCGAAGACGAAACGTCGGAATGCAAAAATGTTGACGCCATTGTATAGAGCGAAAAAAGTGGCATTGTAAATATGCAATTTATTTTAAAATTCGTTTTCAAATAAAGCCAGAAAAAAATTAAACAATTTAGCAAAATTTCGGATTTTTCCGGATATTTCCGGAACTACCCGGAATTTTCAAACTTTCTAAACAGCACATTGTTAGGTATAAAAAAACACAACTTTTTTCTAATCTGAGCCACCCCATATCTTTTTCCGTTTCCTAGATCCTCATGCTATCCCTTCCTTATCTTGGACACACTATATCTATGAATTCATCAAACTTTTAAAAAAATAAGTTATACACTAATCGATAATACGGAAAAAAATTATTATTTATTTTATTTATTCACTATTCGGCTTATGTTTATAGCAATACTGTATAAAAATAGTTTTGGGTCAAACAATGAGATAGTTTTTTTTTGTATTTTTTCCGTATAATTGAATGGTGTAATCAGTTTTTGATTTTTTTTTAAATTTTTTGCATTTTTGACCAAAAAGTATATATCAAAACGAAAAAAATTATTACCGGCAGAACTCTGTACGATAATTTTTTTAAGTAGAATTTTTCTTTGAAAAAAAAGTGTTTCAGGCCGAAAAAAGTTAATATCTCAGAAACTTCGTGATTTTTTAATCTAAACAAAATTGGGGTTATTTAAGACAAAGAAAGGTATACTTTCACCAAGTTTCGTCAAAATTAAATTATTTTTGCGGAAATGAGAAATAAAAAACAAAAAATCACAAAAAAACTTTTTCGCATTTTTCTCGGAAATTTTGAGGTTAGGTTAAAAAATGACTTCTACAAAAGTTGTAGATTTTTTCATGATCTACAACTTTTATATTGGACACTTTTTTGTTTGACGTCAACTTTCGCCAGAAATCCCAATATACAATTTTTCATAAGTTTTCAACCCTCCGCCGCCCCATTTATTTTTTTTTTTTCGTTTATTATAAGCCCCTTTACCATTTCCACTTATAAAAGTCCAGGTAACAATTTTCTTTTTTTTTTCCTTTAAATGAGTTATTTTGATCAGTGTACTAGTTTTTTTTTTTTTGAGTAAAGGTAGGTATAGGCATTGGTTTATTAAAAAAATAGTAGAGAAAATTTCCTTCTAAATAAGAGGTTGTAAAGTATTTTTGGATGAAAATTGACTGATATATGGCCGCTCAATCTTACAATTAGCAAATTTTTTGATTATCGTCGCATTTACTCTTATACGTTTTAATTCTCATGTTTTGCAAAAAAAGGAAGGAAATAAGACGTTCAAGGATTTTCATCACATGACTTGTTCGAAGGGTCATTAAAAATGAAAAAACTGCAGGGTGCTATTAAATTAGAGGGTTGAAATTGAAGATAGGAGTGAAAATGCACTTTTGCAGTGTTTTAAATATAGTACGAAAATTTCGGTATAGTTCATAGGAAAAATTATTTAGAGAATTGAATTTCCCATCGAAATGGCTTATTTAAAAAATTTAAATGAAATATTATATGCAAAAAATCAATTAAAAAAAGCAAATATTGACTGAGTTGTAACCGGTCAAACTTATATATTTTTTAGATTTTCGTCATTTGTAACATAATAATGATTATAATTCTAATTATTTTTACAAGTTGGTTCTTTACTTCATAAAAAATAATTTCAAAAGTTTTATTTGTTAATAATAGAGATTTTCACAAAAAATCAATCGATCAAAAAAAAATCTTTTGTTTTTTTATAAAATTGTTTATTATCGAACTTTAATAGTAACTATGAATATTTTAATAATAACTATGAGTACATCTGTTATCGGCAGTAGAACAACCCTTGAAAGCCATTTTCTTTTTCAGATACCCACCTGAGAAACTACGTGCGTCCGACCAAGCCACCATGTCGTGCAAGCAGCCGAGCAAAGTCCAAGTGACCCATCAGCTCGGCCAAGTCCAGTGCTGCGCATCCATCATTGTTCCTAACGTTAACTTCCGCTCCATTTTCCACGAGGAATTTCACAGTGTCCAAGCGACCACTTAGTGCAGCTAAATGCAGTGCCGTGCCGCCATCATCGTCTCTAATGTTAATTTCTACGCCATGTTCCACAAGGTACTTCACAGTATCCAAATCGTAATCCTCTACAGCTAAATGCGGCGGTTTGCGGCTCTTACAATCGTCCACGTCTATATCCGGACCGCAATCCGCTATAAGGAAACCGACTGTGTCCGGTTGTCCCCGGGAAAGAGCCAGGAACAGTGCCGTGCGACCTCTAGTATTCAAATCTGCACCTGCACGCACTGAAACTCTCACGGTGTCCAACTGATTCCTCCTAGAGCTGCTTTACATTCCACCAGGAATCTGACAGTGTCCAACAGATAGTCTGCAGTCTGCAGATAGGTGCAACGGCATCCGCCAGGAATTTCACAGTGTACAATCGGCCTATCACCGCAACAAGATGCAGGACGTACGTCCGTTCTTATCTTTAACGTTTTCTATCTAACGCTGACGTCCATATCTTTGAGGGGGCTAGCCTCCTCCAATATGGAGGACATCGTTCTTGTCTTTCGATGCAATGTCGGCACTTTGGTCTATTAAAAGCTTTGCTACGTCCAAATGGACGTAGTTTACAGTCAGACGAAGAGGTGTGCCGCCGAGGTGGTCAACGCACCTTGTCTTTCAAGGAACCGCACCATTTGCAAGTGCCCGTTTTGGCAAGCATGGTGTGAAGGCATCGTCTTTCTTTCGTCTTTGTTAATGTTGATTCCACCCAGTCCTACTAGGTGTTTGAATATATTTAAGGTGTTGGCGAGAAATAAGTCCGTCAAGCTAGCTTGTCTCTGATAGCTTTGAAATTTTTACATTTGAGGAAGAGCTGAAGGAGCGCCACGCTCTGCCCAATCAGGTTCACGTGAGGTAGAGGAGGTATCTCCGCAACGCGCAGGCAACTATTCAAGAAAGCACGAGTAACGTTGAACTGAGGATTGAACGTTATTTCTTCCATAAAAAACCTTTGAAACTCCACGTCTTGGTTCTGGAGTTGCAACTCTCTTCGTATACTCTCGGCGACAAAGTATTCTGCAAATGTCCTGTGCACAAACTGGACTTCCTGTTCCACTTTTTGTACAATTCCTATCTTTAACGCGTTTGTTTCCATACGCTTGAAAAGAGTTCGCGTCTAGTTTTGTCCAGGGTCGATTCCAATGCGAGACTTCTATGGTAGGCAAGGCACTCCTCGAACTGGTCGATCAAGGAAGAACAAATCTCGTTTCTTCTCTATAAACATTTCGTAGAACCTTATGATGTCCATGTCCAGTTTTGGTTCGGCTTCATCCCCAGTTATATACTCCTTGCACCCTCCCCAATCTGACTCGTTCTGTCTGATATTTTCCTGGAAAATCTCCGCCATCATCCTTACTTGTAACGGTATCGCGGCGAAGTGGTTTTCGACACGTCGCCGTCGGTCTAACTTGGTCCAAGACGACAATCTGCTTATCAGTGCCCTGGCGTACCGCCTATTTTCAAATTGCGCGCCCAATAGCTCGTAAGAAAGTCCGTCCGATTTTGCTGCGTAAACGCTTCCAGGACGAACGGCTTAACTAGCAAATTTTCTTCCAATTCTCGCGCCACGTGCGGTCTGGTAGTAACCAAGATTCTGAGAAAGTTCAGGTCCTCCTTACATTATTTAATCATGCTTAGAACCAGTTCTGTATAATCGGGGCTGATCTCGTCCATCCCATCCAGCTTTAGCACAACTTTTCCCGTCGAAAAGACGGATTTTTTCAAGTTTCTTTGTTGGCGCCCAACAATTCGCGTAGTACCTTCGTTAAGGTCGAGTTTAATGGGCTTATCTTCTCTTTATCGTAGCCGATAGGCTGGTGAGGATTGTGCTCTTCACCATCCCGGCACTATTAGAGATTAGTATCTCCTTTTCGTCGACATCATAAATGTATTCCTCCGGCACCGTATATTCGTGTTCACTCTTCTTGGACTCCTCCCTAAACTTGCGATTTATGTAGAATTGCGCGGGTTGTTCCAACCCTAACGGTGCTGTTCCCACTTTGATGCGCTCATCCTTAACCGGTTTTTCTAAGGTTTCTGGGTATACGGGCCTTCCAAAGTCCCCAGCGGACAATTCTTCCAAGCTAACATCCTTCCCTTGAAAATGATATGGTTCTTTTTCGGTAATCTCTCATGAGGCTCCATTGACAGGTCTTCGAACGTCACAGATCCATTTATGACTTGTGCACGACCCGATGTGTAGACTACACTGGGTCACTAAAATGTGCTCGTGCTTCTCTAAGGTTTCTCTTAATTTGCCACTTATTTCTTTCGTTGGAGACCAAAGTGGTGCAGTGAGGCAGACACATTGCTTTCTGGTGGATAATTGAAATAAAATTCTAAGTGTTCCAGAAAGTCTTTTATATTTTCATCCGTGATTATGGATTCTTCGATACCTTTACCTCGGGAGTTCTTTCCAAAGTGCCCCTTGACTTTTTTTTTTGATGTGTGGCACAATTTCGCGTTTGAACGTGTAAAAACTCCGTAACCCTCCCATCCCCGCTTGCATTAGTTCAAATAATAACATTCTTCAAGTGGAATGTCTCCTCGATCTCCCCGAAAGACAGAAAGTATTTCGGTAGGCTGAAGTCGTCGTTTTTGGAGTTTGTAGAGGTTAAATCTTCGAAAGTGATCCTCTTCGTCTTACTCTCTTTGTGCTTGGCTTGTAGCAGTACGGCTCCGTTTGGCCATTCCAGCACCACGTCGTCGAATTTTCCCGCGAATTTGTTTTCCGTGGACAGCCTCCAGTTGCCGAGTTTGCCGAAGGTCTTTCTTGTTCCTGATCAGGCCGGTGGCGACTGATTTAGAGTTTCTACGACGATCCATCTTGCTAAAACGTTTACTTCAAGGCATACGACAACTTCTTTTTCAGGTTTCTCCGGTCCCGGATGTCCTCCGAGGAGTTTAACGTCGGGGTTTATTACAGTTACAGGTTCTGGTGCTTCGTGAGAGAACAGTACAACTTTAATATTTTCCAATGTCGCCAATATTGGAATTTCTTCGACGTAAACGTTACGTTCGGACTTCATGGTGTCAGATACGTAACATTCAAAGTGGCTTTGTGCCTCAACCGACGGGTCGTTTGCGGAGAAACATTTTTTCAGCGTGTCTGTTAGACGAGAGGGCGTGGGTTCATCCTCGAAGTAAGTTAGGAACGTCGCTCTCGGAAGTTGTCACTCCAAAAACTGAATGGAAGAAGCTGTTATTGTCCGACGCCGTCGGACTTGGCTTCCAGGATTTTCCAGAGTAAGTATACGGGTATTCATTTTAGTTGTGAGATGAAAATTCTACGGAAAACACTTATCAGATAGAGTAGAAAGTTTAACAACTTCTGTGACTTAATGGGGGACAGTCAATTAGGCCCCCTTCATTTTTGGCCAAAAAAGAAATATATATATATTTTTTATTTATATCCAATAACTAATCGATTCCACCCCAAACGGGACCTCCCCCTCCTTCCTGGTCAGAATCAAAGTCAATTAGAGGTCACATTGAGAAAAAGCCAAGCAATCAACACTGGTACAGTCCGTACAGTATTTGTTGAGATAAAATTCCAAGAACTCCTGTAACAATTTACCATGCAAGGGGCGTGCCTTGAAATTTTCGTCCGATGTCTTTGTACCTCGGATGTTGAATGCAGTTAATTCCGAGAGAGTGACGCAGGGGTCTTGGAATTCTATCGTCTCAACAAATATCGTACGGACTGGACATATTGTGTTGTTGTGAGGAACGTAGTTTTTATTTGCGAGAAAATTGGGAATGAAAGAGTTAAATTTAAAATAAATACACATGATATGAAAAGAGATCAGCGTTGGCAGTGTTACATAGAAACTTTAAACTTTTTGTATAAATTAGGAAGAAAAGAAGTAAGTTGGGATTTCAAGCCTCTTCCCCAATGGTTTTCGACAATACTGTCTGAGGGGGCAAGCAAATTTTTTCTGGATTACCTTCAGTACAACTCACATAATCAAAGTGTAGATCTCCAGATATGGGTGAGGTCCGGAACATTTTCAAAATGCAAAAATGTTTAAAAAATTTAAAAAAATACCTGTTTTATACGTTTTTTACTTATATCTTGGAACCTATGCATTTTCGAATAATATTGAAGAGAGAAAAAAGTTTTAGAATAGAATTTTGCACAATATACTGTAAGTTAAAAATGTTTAGCAATAATTGAGGAAAAACAGGCAAAATAATCAAGTTTTTTGGATATTTTTTTTAAATGTTTTAATTACTCCGGGAAATAAACTTTAATAGTATAATAAAACAACACACCAAATTCCATTAAAATCGGTGCGATAGTTTTCGCAAAATAAATTTTAGAAAAGAATTAAAAAAAAATTTTTCGAATTTTCAAAATGTTGCACAGCCTCAAATAAAGCATGTAGATACTTGAAAAATTTTTCACATAGAAGAGACCGCTCAACCTTTGAAATGGTTTTAGAAAAAATGAAATGGATTGATTAGGACGGCCACAATAAATTTTTAAAGTTAACACTCTTTTTTTTAATTTTTAAACAATTAGATTGCATTTATCAATTTGCAATTTAGTTTTTTNCAGCGCAACTTATATCTATCATGGTTTTAATAATTGAAACGAGAAAAAATAATATATTACTTATAAGTCGCAAAAAGGAACACCCTGTGTGATTTTTCTTTTAGATTAAGAAGAATTACGACTCAAAATAGACAGATTTATTTTTAAATAACAGTTAAAAATATATCCGGAAATTAACATTATTAAAAAATAATGCTATTCTTACCTCTTAGGTGGGGTCTTTGTTTGATGGAACACTTATGGAATGACTCGTTTGGAATTCACTTGTAATGTAACCATGGTAAAAGTTATTTCAGTGTACTATCATCAAAGCGACTGTTTTGTACTCGTGTTTCTGATAGAACTGCAGTTGTGGACTGATGAGATGCTGAATAATTGTGGAAATGACCAGCAGAAAAAGACCACATAATTGCGACGTTGCAATAAACTCAACGAATGAGATTACTAACATAAACATTGCTGATATTTATCTAAACTTATACGCAATTTGATTTCTAATTCGGTTTTAAGTAATAGGTTTCTTTCATTTTATTCGAAAAGCCAGTCGAATAAATCGCAAATAAACTCTAAAACTGTTCGTTTTTAAGGAAAAAATACAGGATGTAAATAAATAAATGCCAAAAAATTATGAAGGTGAAGCGTATTTAAATTGTTGGATAGACAAGCCTCAGTTCTTCGAAACTATCTCGGAATTTTTAACCATATCCGTTGACATTTATCATGTTTTATGGTTTTCCTGTTATAATTAAGGTTCCTTCAATTTCTTTTCATACGTTTTGTTGTATTACTGTTGCGATAAAAGGTTTATTTTATTTTTTGCCAAAGGCTTATAACAGATCGAAAGAAAACAGTTGTGCAAGTTGTGCAACTTGCAGGACATTTTAATTTCTTTTATAATTTGTAGTCTATAACCGACAACTAACAGTGACGAAAAATTTATTTCTTTAATGTTACAAATTACAGGGTGCTCTTTACAAGCTCTATGATAAACATTTTTACTTATATGAATATAGAGGTCCGATTCGTTTTTGTTTCGAAGTTTCCAGCATTTTAAAGCATATAATTTCATATTTCATCCATGATAATTATCTCAGGATGTTTTG